TTATATTAAATGCATAATTTTCATGGAAGAAAGGTATTCAAAATGTCGGCCAATTTTAGCTTATTTACATATCATATGTAATCCTTTATCGCCATCAAAGGGCTTGCTTTCGTGCAATCCTCTCTATATATGGTGCGCTTTAAAAAATAAGTCTATGTAATGCAAATTTCCTATGGTTAAGTTATTAAGGGCCAATTTCGGCTTATAAAGGCTTATTTTTCATTTTCATTCATCCTTATAAAAAAATATCCCTAAAAAAAATAGCCCCAAGCATTTAAAATTAAAGGCTGTGAAGATAAGTTCGGATTTAACTATCAAAGACGCTTACCCTTACCAGAACACATCCCTTAACAAAGCTCTCCGTCTGCCCGTGTAATATCTGTTGCAAACATCCTCCTGGCCGCAAAAAAGGAACCTTTCGACTTCAAATTTGGCAGCAATATCGCAAATTCTTGCAGTGTAGGCTGATATTAGAAAAGGCCAAATCAGTCAAAGGATACGTCTACAATACTATGTCAAGTGAGACGACTCCTAAACTATAGCGAATAAATGAACGAAAATTTGAACGCATATCCTATGAGCGATGCAGTGGTACCTCTACAAGAATAGAAAAAATTGACAACAAAAAAAATGTTTTTTCAATACCTTTATAACGTGCAGAAATGACCATAAAAAATCCCCATAACGCATGTAAACTTTTGGTTTGTCCATCTGTCCGTCTGCCAAACTTTGTAGTATCTGCGGTAAGCATTCTCGCGTCAGCGAAGGTGAAGATATCCCCTACAAATTTCCAAAAGAATTTTGTAGTGAGCTAAACTTTTCAAAGCACACGCCTATGCGACAAAAGCTTTCATTTTGAAAATAGAAAAGACCAGCAGAGCCCGCTCCATATTATAGAGCATGAAAAATTTACTTCTGTTATTTTTGTCTTTTTTAGAATAACGGTGTTGGGTGAAAAAGATTCGGTCACGGCCGAATATAATTTTCGTATTTATTTCATATAATGATTTACATGGAAGTGATCGAAGAAGTTATCCGATCCAAACCATTTCCAATAGGGCTCGTGTCTGGGTCAAAACACCACCAGTATACCAAATTTCATCAAAATATTTCGAGGATTACGAACAGACGGACAGCCAAGCTCAGCTCGATTCATGAAGTGATTTTGAATCGACCGATATAATAAAAGGGGGCTCTCTGGATGTTACATACGTTGCACAAACCAAGAATTAAAAAACAATAAGGAAAATATTCATCTTAGTTAAGAAAAGTTTTTGAGTTAAGTTGTTGATAAAAGCGTGTAATTTTTCCTTAATTAAAAAATAAATACAAAAACGAACAAATACACTAAACTAAGTAACGTTATGTGTGATAGCTTATACGCTCTAACCAACTTCCTTTCGGAAACTAGTTTTTGTTGCAATGTATTTAGAAAGTTGTAGAAAACTTGTCAAGTGAATATTTTCGATAATTCAATTCAGTTCGTGCCTCAAAAGTGTGGTATTTAACAAGGGGCCGGAACATGTATTGGGGTAGATGCAGTTTCTCATGTATCGATAAAAGGTTAGCCCTTAAAGAATTTCTCGAAGTGTGTTAGGGCTGCGTGCTTATGCATGCATGAAATCCATAATAATACCGTAAGTTTAATTATATTATAATAATTATGAAACAATTAATTTTATAAAATCGTTTAACAATTTTTAAGTCTCGATTAAAATTCATATATTCGCGTGTTGATAATGGTGAACGGACCCCGACTAGACTTTTCTTGTTGCAACTCTAGTTAAATAACAATTAACTGGAACAAGTAATCAAAACACATTCCCATACACACGCGCATATATATATATATATATATTTTTGTGGCCTAATTTATAGAAAAGCAATTTTCCATCTTTTACATCCAAAGTAAACTCATTTGATGTTTATTTATTTTTAACTCACTGCTGGAGCATGTAATAACGTTGTCGTTCTGCTTGTAATAAATGTTTGTTTTATTTTTTTTTTGCGGAGGCCACCCTTCGTTTGCTTTCTTTTGAGGTTACATCGTGGAATATATTCCAGTTTCCTTTGATGTTTTAATTTTTCACGGCGTACCATTTAATAATAGAACCAACCACACACGCTCTAAAAAGTACAAATTATCGGTTATGAGTCGGTGGTGGTGGTGGTGGTAACTTTTCTACAATTCGAAATCAAGTAAAGAAAATTCAAGTCAATGGAACAATTTGCGGCTGACTGTAAATAGCAATTAGCGAGACGGCAAACGTACCGTTTATTTCCCCACTTTTAAGAATTAATTGTCTCTACGATTACTTTGTATAAGCGGAACGGAAGGCCACGTGCCACACAGTTGCGGAATTGAGTTAAAAAAAAATTCCGGCGAGAGATGATCTCGATAGAAGACTCTGCACCTAAAAATATGCTTTAAAAAGAAGACAAAGAATTTATATATTTATTTAATTTAGTTTTATTATTATTATTATTATTATTATTATTATTATTATTATAAATTTGGCCAGAGAATAAATTTTAAGACTAAAAAATCTTACAGCACTAGCATCTAAGGCTTTCGGTTTTATTAAAAACTCTGCTGCACTTGAGATTTGAACCCACGATCATTGAATTGCTAGTCCATACATTTGCCTACCCGTCCATTCAGCGGATTAATTTCCTTATAGTGAGAATCTTGGATCCATATAAGAGATTGTACGAAGCCTAACTGCCAACAGGGCGGGTAGGAAATCAAAAGCATCCTTTTGCTAGCATGGATGTTAGGAAAAGTTTTTACTTCAACTTGTCATTGGAAATGAAACATCAGCCATTTTCATGATGCCTGGTGGTTGTGACTAATAGAAAGGGATTTATTAGACTTCAACTCTCAGCAGGGGGTCGAAACGCCGAAAAAAATCGTCGCCCTGAGCACAGTGCAGTCAAGTATTTATGTAAATCTTCTGAAGAAAACTGTCTACGCTTTGTATTAAGAGTGTGCAGAAGTTTTGATCACATTTTCACTTGCGAAAAACATTTACTGTGAAAAATTGGTATAACATATATTAATCAAAATAGTTTCCGTTATTTTCTAAAACAGTTTAAAATATTTTTGCCAACTTAGCGACATCATACCGAAAGAACTTACATTGGTTTGATAGCGATTCATCCACCGACTAATTTTCGCACCTCATCAATTTTGAAGACCCTCATGCCAGCCAAGTCATGCGGCACCGATCTGAACAAATTGTAATCAGGAGACATGTTTGGTGAGTGCGCATGGTGAGGCGGAACTTCCCATTTGAGCTGCAACACTTTATCCTGGACGACCTTTACAACAAGCGCCCAACATGGCAATTTCAGGTATCCATTGTCAGTCCTTTTGGACCGCTCCCGTCGCATGTAAACATCTAGAAACTGTTGACTCGTCACTTGCCAAGCTATTCGAAAGTTCTTTGAATATTCGTGCTGGATTTTCGGCTAATAAGTCTTGCAATTCGTGGTCCTTGAACTTTTTTGGTCCTCCAGGTCGTTTTTTGGCCGACCAACATCAAAGTCACACCAAAACCGACAATTGAGATGTGATGGAGTAGCATCACCATAAACTTCTGAACGTCTCGGATGGATTTCGCCAGCAGATATCTTCAAAGCAACAACAAACGCAATGAATATCGAAAATACTACTTCGAAGGTTCCACGATTAGCGTCGGCGTGCCCTGAATAAATCAATTATATGAAATGAAAAAGTGTTATTTTATCAAATTCACTCGTTATGTACACTGGTATTTCCAATTTCTTTATCATTTTTACTTGTAGAAATCGCTGATTAAAATTCTTGCAAACACCTAATAGTAACCTTAAAATCGCGAAATGTTAGTTTGATGATTGAGAATTAATGCAGGTATTTTCTAAACTTTTCCTCAAGGTTTAGAAACTTGTTGAAAAAAAAAAAAAAAAAAAAAATTAATTATTGCTATTTAGTGGCAATAAATTAAAATCCTGTGTAAACTGTAAATCCAATTGACCCACTAACGCGTTCACAATTAATAGAAAGTGGATCTTTGTTTACACATATATATATATACCTGCAAATGCTACTACTACTAGTGTGCACAGTATATAAACAGAACTTAGATTGAACCCTGCATAGCGTATATTAAAGATTCGCTTCAAGGCGATTGTAACTTTTTTTTTTTTTTTTTTTTTTTTTTTTTTTTTTGTATTTACAACGTGTCCGTAACTTCTGTTCGACTTTTCTTATATGTGGGATAAGTATATTTACCTACACCGGTGCAATGTATATATGTGCTTGTGTTCGTATATGCATAAAGAATTATTTCAGCTCATTTTACCATTCAATTAGCCATGCAAACAAGGTTTTTTTCCATTTTTTCTTTCTTTTTATTTTCATTTTTTTTTTTGCTTTTTTTTTAAAGGCTTTTTTTTGTATCTCAATATAGAGCAGAGCAGCGTGAATGAGAATAAAACGACCAACCGAATCGACCAAGTCTTTTTAGAAAAAAAATTAGCACAAAAATCTTCTAAAGGCCGCAAAAAAATCTACTTTGAAGACAAAGAGCCGTTTATCAGATTGCAAAAGCGCTGGGCTTGCTGTGCAAGTGCTTTAGAAATTCAAAATTCTCTTAAACGTTATAAATAAATAAAAATAAGCAAGAAATTATACTTAACTTTAGCGAAATATTTTAATATCCACTATCTGAATGAATCGCATTTTCGCGTTTGCAATAAATATGCTTCGAAAGTGTAGACTATGATTTGCGAATTTTTCATTTTTAACGAACTTCAAATAAACAAACACCAACACACAGATAAACAAACAGACAAAAAAAAAAAAAAAAAAAATCGGCAGCAATTAACAGGCAGCAAAGAAGGCTGCAAAGTGTACGGTGTCGTTTATTGTTATTTCAAGCAACATAATAACACTAGATAATGAATGGATTGTTTAACCAGGCGTCATTTTTGAACGGTAGATTTCCAATTATAACAAAAACCTAGAGGAAAAAAATTATTCAATCCTATGTCATATGGTAGGGATGCATATGCAAATATGATTCAAAAGCACTAACATTAATCAAGAATATAAACATTGCATTTGGCCTGGACAAATGTATAAAATTGAAAAAAAAAAAGAAAAGCAAATAAACTATAGCGAGGTTAAGTTGAATTTTGCATGCCCGCCATTGTGCAAAACATAAAATTTCTTATTCAACTCTATGTCATCAGGCGGGTGGTGTCTCAATTGGCGCCGGACAAACCGTATCGCAATCTAGAAGTTCTATTGTACTCGCCCATAACGTTAGGCATCAAGTTTTACGATTTTTATAAATCCCGCTATCTTGCTTGGATCGGAGCACCACACCATGTCCGGCATTGTAAAATGCTCGCCAAATACATGGTGCCAGCTTCTGCAGAAGGCTTCACATTCATATGGAATATGATGGGACGTCTCTCTCGTTCCTTGACAGGATCTTCAAGAATCGGTATCGGATATATTCGTGTTTTTCATATGGTACCTGAGGAAATTATGATCGGTGTGGAAGCCCGTGATTAAACATAGGTCGCTTCTTTCTAGTTTCAGGAGCTTATGTGCCATGACGTGCCGTTCTACTGCACGTTGCTTCCAACGGCAAACCGATTTCTTCTGTGCCCACTGCGATACCATCCTGTTAATTTGGTTTCTTGGTACGCCATAGAAAGATTCAAGATCTAACATGGCTAGACAGACAATTTTTTCGTTGAGCTCAAAACCCGAATGCCTAAGCACATATATTAGATACACATCGTTGCGCCAGTCTAGTTCATTCAATGTCTGAAGGCAGCCTAGGCATAAACCTAGATGTTAATATTCACCCCTTTAGGGACTTAAAGGTGGCTTGACTGTCGGAGTAAATGCAGATTAGCTCTCTCCTGCACAACCTTATTATGCATTTAGACGAACATGCGGAGATTTCGTAAACTTCTGCATCTAATATAAGGGGAGGGAGGGGCGTCGGGAATAAAAGTTTCTACAAAATATTTTCCCAAAAATTATGACAACTCTATCCCTCTTGGCGGTAGGTTGCATACTGAGCTATTTACGGATTAAGAGAGGCGGTATTTATTTATCTATTTAGTACAAGTACATTCCGTTACACTTACAATCCCCAGCAGATCTATAAAAGTACTCCTTTTAAACTTATTGAAAATAACTAATATAGAGTTCTTAACTAATTGAATCATCACTTTATAAAATGAACAAGCTTCACGGAGAACATTGGCTGAGTTCGGCTAAAGTTCACCTTCGCAAAAATTACCGCCCTTGATATGATTTCTGGAAGTCGAAAAACTATCGTAGAATTGGCAGCTCCCGTTAAAATTAAAGTCCAAAACTGTCAATGGATGAAATAATTCGTAATTTATCGGAGAGTGGAGCAACTTAATTAACACCTAATGCCTACTAGATCGAAATTACCTCAACAAAAATTTATAATGACGAAATACCTAGCGCTCGGCGAGTTTTATCCAGAAATTTTGAAAATTATAAATTTTTTTCACATAACGAATTTTCAAATTAAGGTATCATAGAGGAATGGTCATAGAAGTGATCCGAATCGAACCATTTTCAATCGCTTTCGTTCTTAGGCCAAAATAAGCCATAAATTGCGTCCTATAAGTTAAAAGGGAGAATACATGGGCAGACATCAGACGGACAGACCGCCGGACCAGCGTAGATCGCCTCAGAAATTGATTGTTAATACGATTCTGAGCCGATCGAAAATAAAAGGTATGTCTGCCGTAAGTTCTTTTTATATATTGCATACGTCCGTTTAAACTTAGTATATCCTCCACCATAAGTGGTGTAAGACATAAAAAGGTCCAATTTCGTAGTGAAAATCGGTCCATAAAGGTAATTTGATCTATTTTTTGCCTCCAAACGCTTATAAGGAATCTCATGAATAATAAGCGCTTTAGAAAAAGAAATTACGAAAATCAATCCATACAGCAATTTAGAAAGAAATTAATCATAGGAAATTTAGATCAGATCGAACTACTTTTCGATCCCACTATATATACGCGTTACCATGAATACATAGCTCTTACATTGCGTCGAAATGTAATTTGTGGTTTTTTATGACGAAAATAACAGGTAACAATGCCATAGACAGGCATGACCGACCATTAAATATCCTACACACCATCGCTTATAAAAAAATACACCAGTAATTATCCATTAATTTTATATAAATGCATAATTTTCACGGAACCGCCCATATTGGAGGATACTCAAAGGTCAACGTGATCAAAAATTATGGGGGTTTTTCAGTCGTTTCCGTTATAACAAACCGCATACTGGACTTAGAGTCCTTATGGAAAGGCTTGTTCTCGTGCAGTCGCCCCAATAAATGATGCAATTTAGAAAATAGATCTATGTGATTCAAATTCCCTATGATTGATTTATTACGGACAAATTTTCATTTTTCTTTCTGAAAATTAGACATGGCATACAAAAGCCACAGTGATAATTAAGTTTGTGCGGCCGTATATAGAAGGGCTTAAGATAGATACTGTAGCGATCGATTCAAAAAAAGCTTCTTATTTCAGCTTATCTGTCCTTGTAAATTTTTTGTTCAAGCTATAGGTTGCAAGTTTTGATATATATATTGTACCATACTAATAAATTAAGATGCAAAAAATTAATTGCACCAACTTTGGATCATATCAGCCTATTTTTTGGTTCTACCCATTTCTTGACCAATACAGGTGAAAAACGGTAAGGTGTTGCATAAGGAAATTAAATTCATTAAGTTTTTACTTAGTTCACTTTTAAAATTCCCTGCTATATATGAGAATTGTCGCGAACACTTTTCGTTCGCATTGGAACTAGACATAATTTTTGCCATTTTTTCGAGAAAATAAATGAAGAACTGTATTAGGTAAAGTACACTACTTTAATGCTCGAATCAACTAGAAGCAGTTTTTTATTTTTTGAAATGTGGCGTTAAACCCGAAGCGCAATCTAATTCATCTTTGGTAGCGCTTGCTCTTCTATTAAAATATATCGGTGCCCCGAATTGATTCGAAAAATTGGCTCAAAGATTGCTGGCTGTAGGCAAACCAGAACATAACCATACAGACGTAAAGACAGATTAGACACACTGTAACTGATGTAGGGTATAACAAAGCATACTGACAACTTATACTGCAATGAGACACTTGAGCACAATACATTTCGAACTACCCGCGTAAAAAGTGCGTAATTTCTGCTGACGTAATATTTATTTATATGATGAGAATCAATGCCAACGCCACCCACAATAAAGAGATATTCAAGTATAAATAACACCAAAAATTTGAATAACAAATAATAAATTTCTTGAATAAAAGCAATGATAGGATGTGGAGAGGATAGATAAATCAAGTTAAGACACTATCTTTATTTATTTATTGTCCATATATCTCGTAGATAAATTTACAAAGTATAGATATAAAGGCTGCCGGGTAACTTAGATCATATGCTCGCCTTGCATTGAAAACTCTATCGAAATTGAGATTTGAAGCCGCAATCATTGTATTGTTAGTCGCGATCCTTTGTCTACTCGGCCGCTCATGCGAAATAAGTCTAACTATCTTATCATTAATGGATATAAAAACAAGTAAAAAAATTATATATGGCGGGGACCGAATCTCGCACACCCACCACTATGCTTTTCGCAATCCACTCTCCAAGTTGTTTTATTTGATACCCATATCGATGGTATTATTTAGAAAAAACATGATCGCGGTGTCTACCATGTTCACCCATTTTTAGACAGATAATATATCTTCATTTGAGGAGTGTATAAAATAGTTTTAAACGTTTTGTCTTGTTTGCCTTATGATAAATAAATCTCATTAAACCTCAAAAAGTAAATTTCATTACTCGTAACTTTATGTGGACAGGGCCGATTGGTTCTCGACCACGAGGGTAAAGTGCCTCGTAAAGCAAATGTAGAAAGTTTCGGGGTTCTAACTTTAATAATTTCCGAATAAAGAGCAAAAACCAAAAAAATCGTGTAAAAAAAAAATAAGTTGCGTTCAGTTTACGCTCCACTGCGAACTTCAGCTCCGATCAATTTGGCCCATTTTCAATAACAACCTGCGTGCAGAAACTTCCCATGTTTCTACTTGAGTTAAAATCGATATCTTCATTTTTCCGAGCGCCATTGGAGTGCCAACAACACAAACCAAACAGACGGACAGACATGGCTAAATCAACTCTGAATTTCATACCGATCAAGAATATATATACTTTGCAGGGTCTCTGAAGCTTTCTTTTGGGTGTTGCATATATTTTTGGAAAAATGTGTATATGCGCATCTTACAGTGGTGGGTATAATAAAAAACCTAAGCGTAATTGCATTTTTAAACGGCAATCTTATGCACCTGCTGCCTCAATGAAATTGTACAAAAGCAAATACTTGCAGGTGTTTAATTAATTTAAAGACATAACTAAAAAGTAGAATTATAACGACGGCATATGTCACAAAATCTATATATATTTATATATATATATGTAAGTATATATAGTAAGTTTTTTAAAGAAGATAGATATTTGGTACGCGTAGGCAGTTGGAGTGTATTTTAAATATGTATAGATTAACATAGGTAGACATACGTTTTATCAATGACCCAGTGAGGTTTTTAATAAAACGATTGAAATGTAGTTAAGGGCATTGTTGTTTTTATTAAAATAGCTAAGAATTATAAAGCCTTTTATCTCACATATGTATTCGTGTGTATTAGGTCTGCATGCCTTCGTAAGACAAACTTGTTTGCAACTTGTTTGTAAACAAACGTTATATCTCTACGTAACGTTTGAGAATATGATTCATCGTATTCTACACTAAAACAATCCGAAAGAAAATACCATAAAATGTAAAACGTAAAGTATTGCGGTCTAAACGAACATAGATAGTTTCTCCATTAACTCTTAAAACACACTACAAGTATATTCCATAAAGATTGCATCCCGAAAAAAAGAAACGATTTTGAAATTAAGAAACTTTTATAATCCAAGAAAACTTTTAATAGAACTCACTGCTTTATAAAGTGCGCTCATTCAAATATTTTCAGAAAATTTGCTACAAAATAATTGTTGCAACGGCAGCATGGGCGGTAGCAATTTTGTAAGCGGAACAAATAGTTTTCCTGAGAAAGACGATCCTGGCGACGGTTTGGGACCACTACCGCCAAAATGGGAAACTGCGTATACCGAAAGAGGTGAATTATATTTTATCGAGTAAGTGCGTTTGAGATTTTTTTGGATTTATAATAGTTTCACATTCATGTACATATGTATGTTTTTCATTGCAGTCACAATACCGGCACATCGCATTGGCTGGATCCACGTTTATCAAAATTTCAAAAAAAGTCTCTAGAGGAATGCGGTGAAGATGAGCTGCCTTATGGTTGGGAAAAGATAGAAGATTCCCTATACGGCACGTACTATATAGATCATGTAAATCGACGCACTCAGTATGAAAATCCAGTTCTCGAAGCAAAACGTAGAGCAGCTGAGCAAAGGCAAAAACAACAAAGTCCTCACCAACAGCAGCAAGTAAATTCTCAACAACGACCGCAAACGCCATCATCACAAAGTATTTTAAATGGTGCTGGAGCAAGTACTGCGTTAAGTTCAGTATCGTCTGGTTCGACGATGTCCACCGTAGATATATCTCAACGAGCTATGCATCCACCACCGCCCGGCGAACTTCATAACGCGAATAGAACTTTATTGCCGTACAAATTTACACGGAATCCGTCTGAAATGCAAGGGGAACGTATCACCAGAACACTTTTAAAATCCGCTCGAGGTTTAGGTATAACAATTGTGGGTGGCGATGATGGCGTAGAAGAATTTCTACAGATTAAATCCATTGTACCGAATGGCCCAGCATGGCTCGATGGACGATTGCAAATGGGTGACGTTCTTGTTTATGTAAACGACACTTGCGTATTGGGTTTTAGTCATCATGAAATGGTTAGTTGCAGTAACTGCATGACTTTGCTTAAAACTAATTATTATTTTCCCTTTACGTTAGGTCAATGTTTTCCAGTCAATTATGCCAGGTGAAACGGTTACATTAGAGATATGCCGTGGTTATCCTTTGCCCTTTGATCCAAACGACCCAAACACTGAAGTTGTAACCACCATAGCGGTTGATGGTCTCAATTCAGAATCAGAGAAGCAAGGACACCTCCTTATGGATCTCAATATGGACGGGAATTACAATTTTCTGGATTCTTCCATTGGCAGTAATAGCAATCCGGGCAATAAACTAAGTACTCTCGATACCAGTGGTTTTATATTAATGAAAAAACCGGAACTTCATACCATTTCGATTCTAAAAGGCGCCATGGGTTTTGGTTTTACTATAGCTGATTCCGCATTTGGTCAGAAAGTTAAGAAAATCTTGGATCGGGCTTGTTGTAATGAATTGCAGGAGGGAGACATTCTCTTAGAAATTAATGATGTCGACGTCAAAAATAAATCGCATTTAGAAGTGGTGCAAATATTAAAGGATTGTTCGAAAACAGAACCGACTTCAGTCAAAATACAAAGGTCCACTAAAAATTCCAATTCAGTTTTACCAAATTCTTCCACAACAGTTGCTGAAAGTGTAGCTAAGCTACGAAAAAATTTTATGGGTACTGCCACTGGCATCGGAAGCAATGCTTTGTTTCGCAGCAAAACTCCCACTGCCGATTTATATAGTACAATGCAAAAAGAGATTTTGCCCATACGTCCCAAGACACCACTTGTCGATACACGATGCGTGCGAACCAATTCTTCGGGCACCAAGTTTGCTGAAGAACAGGATTTAGGTGCTGTCGACAATAGCAACGTAGATAACGGTCCGGTTGAGCAGTGTTCGTTGACCGAAAGCAAATCTCAATTAACCGAACTGAACAAATCGCGTAATTCCCTCTCAGAAGCGGAAATCGCAAACCACGATATCCCATTTATGGACCCGTATCCGAAAATGGTTTCTAGTCTCAGTGAACGTTTAGCATGCGTCAGCATGCCTACCGATGGATTACCCCCATCTTCAGCAGAAAATGGATATTTACGTACAACAGCGTCAGGGGTACCAAATTATGAAAATCAATCAGACTATATTAGCACTGGTAGTGGCAATTGCAGTTCCATATATGGTCTGGCGCAAATGCCGCCAATAATGAGTCCCTTAAGCGGTGGTTTATATGGGCAGCAAGTAAATTCAATAGCTCCGTTGGGTTCGATGGCACCCATTGCACCCATTACATACCATTACCATCATGACTCCTGCTTTTGCTGTGAGTGCCAAGATTATCGCAACAATCGCTTGAGAAATGTTAACTCTACGCATCATCCTCTCCCTCAGCAAGCCTTTTACACCGGTTACTCAATAGCATCGAATTTACACAATCATTCACCTGCCTCTTTATCCAGTTTCCAAGCAGCTCATTTTCAAAATGAACGAATGCAAAAACGTGTTAATGAATTGCTCAGTGATCGTAGACGTGTGGGACTTTCCCCCCTCGAACACAATCACAATTTAGCTAATGCCCCGGTCAATGAATATGCATCTTCACCCATGCCTCAACAACCGCCGCCAATATTGCATCAACATCCGCAACATCCGCAACACTCACCTGTTGTCAGTGGTATTTCTCAAGTAGCGGGCAGTAATTGGCATAACAATGGGATGATGCAAGCACCCGTAGCATTAGTACGTAATGGTGGTTTAGTCGAGTCAACAGATATTTTAGACGGGTCAGGCGAACAGTATGTGTTGTCGGAAGTTACTTTGCAGCGTCAAGCATTAGGGTTCGGCTTCCGTATCGTTGGCGGCACGGAGGAGGGCTCGCAAGTGACAGTTGGGCATATTGTACCCGGAGGTGCAGCAGACCATAATCATCGCATTGCCACTGGAGATGAGATATTAAGCATAGATGGCATTAATGTGGTAAGTAGATATTCAGTTTCCTAAGCATAAAAGCTTTTCCGTTAATTGTGCATTAATTAGGTTAATGCTTCACATCACAAAGTTGTTTCGCTAATGGGAGAAGCAGCACTGCGTGGCCAAGTGACCATGATATTGAGACGACGTGCTCGCAATACTTCAACGATTTATCAGAATTCTCTCCCTGTTCATTTACTGCAGCAGTCCGCCATGCCAAGGAGCACTTCTGCAATACATTATTCTTACGATGTCATTGTAACACGTCACGAAAATGAAGGCTTTGGTTTCGTTATTATATCATCATCCAATCAATATTATGGATCCACCATCGGTAAAATACTTCGAAAACATGCACTAAAAAAGGCAACAAAATCATTTTTCCTCTTTTTAATAATATAGGAAAGCTCATACCAGGCAGTCCGGCTGATCGTTGCGGAGAGTTAAAAGTAGGTGATCGTATACTTGCCGTGAATCGCGTAAATATTGCAGGGATGTCACACGGCGAAGTAGTGAACCTTATCAAAGAATCAGGATTACATGTGCGCCTAACGATTACGTGTTCTAAAGAAGGAAACAGCATGAACCCTGCACCAGTTGGAAGTAGCAACAGTTTACAATTAAATTCAGCTCAAGCTTCACCAGGTCAAATCTCCCAAGCAGGGATTGAAAATACAGATGTCGGCTTCTTTGAAAGGCCATTATTAAGCGCCGGTTCCAACTCGGGCTCTATTTCATCCTCAACCTCTTATATGCCGACTTCTCTAACATCATCGAAAGCTTTACCTACACCGCCTCAATTATGACTTTGAGATTTGCGTATTAAACTTCTCAAAAGTTTCCTTTAGTATATCCGAAAGCCATTATAATTGAGATTGGTCAGGCCTTTCCCACCATTATCGCTTATTGTGCGTTAGTTACACACATTCACAGTCAGGCACAGTTAATTCCTTATTGTAAGATTATTTTTAATCAAACTTATTAATGCAATTTCCCATCCAAAGACTGATTTTTCTCAAACGCAAACTTCTAGCGTAATTGTATTTCACTGCTAAACACATATCAAGTTATTTCATTCTTTTCATGTTTATAGAACGACTTTGACAAATGCACATATCGTTTATTTATAACAATGCTAAATATTTCCACAAAAAGATACTTATATGCATGTGTTTTAGATTAAGACTAATAATGTTTATCCAAAATTTGTATTATATTCTCATATATTCTTATGTGAAAAAAGTATGTAAATATGCGTAAATAAAATTTTTATACATTTTTCTTTATTTTTAAACTTAAAATGCAAAATTTTATTATTCAACACGAAATATTCGGGTAACTACGAAAAATAGAATACTATAATAATTTAAATAATGGAAATAATTTCCATATTTTATCTTATTCCAAGTCTCTGAAATGGTTTGGTGTAATAATTCCATATAAAATATAGCTAGCAAGCTTATCACTTGCGGTAATATCCGCAGCAAACATTATTCGCACCTCTATGTGATGTTTAATTTTTAGTGCGGGATTGTAGCGAGCTAAGCTTTTGAAATTTATGGAAAGAATAATTGATTCGTGAAATCGACGAATTTTTGAAGGAGCAATTTGATGGACGGATGGAATTACAGTAACCCGTAACAGTGTAAATGTATTTAATTCCATCCAATCAGAAGGAAATCTTGTCTTTAAAATCTTAGAGCAATATACATAAATATACAATAAAATCGAAGAGAAAATAAATAAATAATTTAAGAAAGTCACTTTTTCATCTTTTCTGGCTTAACAATTATTCTAATGAATCTTGAAATTTTTTCCTTACTTCTGCTACTGCTTTTGATCATTTCGCCTAAATCTTTAAGAGCCACTTCTTTCGAATTTTCTCCGAACCCTGTAAAAGTGAGATTACGCATACAAATCTGTGAAGTCCATACTTCATAAGTCTGAATTCATTTAAATTAATAATTGTAAACCAACATTTAGTTTTTTTTCTCTTGTTGTTTCAAATTGAAGTTTATAGAAACATTTGGTTCAAACTGATTTTTAAATAAAACTGTAGAGATTATCTTTTAACAAAGTTTTCGCATGATTTCAAGATTAACAACCTTGGAAGACATGTACGAACGTTCGATTACCTCATCCAATTATTTACATTTAATTTTATTTGTTTAGCTTCCTTTTTCCGATTTCTATTCGATCTTTGTATGAATCTCAAAAAGCATATACTGCGGTTTCGTACACCTGATAAAAAGCAAAATGGAATGCAACTCTGTTTTTCTACATAATTGAGCATGTAATAAAGTCTGTGTTAATATCGCTAATAAATATTAATATATAATTATTTAATTTTATTAAAAAATATTATTTCATTAAGTTCGCTAATGTGTACGTAATTGCTAAGAATAACAAAAACTGGAAAATGAATAAATATTCGTCAAATGAATGCAATACTTTTTATATTGGTTTAATTTTAAAATGTAAGCCGATGAGTGAAAAAACTAAACATTTAAGATCCTGCACTAAATAATAAAAGCAACGTAAGCCTTCGGGATCTTTCGAACGGTTGACATCCACTAATGAACCAGTTTTGGAAGTTGTAAAGGATATGTGCTCATCGCCAATCACAATTTCCAGCTCCTAAAAAGATTTTAAATGCGCTCATTATACATGTGTTTTGTCAAATTTATAACTCAAACTACTTGTCTTCCAACGCGATCCGGTGGCGGCCATGGCGAATCGTCTTCTGCCATTATTTCTGAGTCCATAATTATACGTTTCAATTCCTCCATTACGGATTGATGCACAAATGCTTCCTTACGAATCATTGTATCGTTTTTATAGTTGGAGTTGTTGGCATAGCGTAGTTTACCATCAGGACGGAATTCAAATTCCAAAAACTCGTGACCGAACTTTCCTTTATGGCCAACATAATAACGTAAGTAAAAATCTTCCGTAGACATTATTAAATAAAATTTAGTAAATATCTTCAACACATTCAACACTTATTTATGCGCTAATTTCCACCTGACCATCTAAACGTCAGAAAGTCCAATAACGCCGTCAGGGTTGTAAATATTTGTAGTAATGGCGTTAAAGTGCATCCAAGTTTTTTTCTATAATTAAAGTGCCGTGAACTGTAAGAGCAATAAACTACGCCGCAAACATCAAGCGGTAATTTGTTGTTTACGTTTGACATTATCAATAGAAAATTTTCCAAGTCATTAATCCTTATTTACACCGTAGGTATCCAAAGAATTCTTTTCTTTCAGAGTGTAGACAGTACATTTTAAAGGTCAAGTCTTAGTCAAGTCTTAGGTCACATCTTGTCTGAATTTAGTCACATCTTAGATTAAATTTTATATTTGGTCACATCACATTTGGTCAAGCTTCTTAAGAAGAAATTTTATAAGAAGACAAGCAATATTTACGACCCACCTTGTAAATTCGCTCACCTTCCCATTAATAATTGTCGTTATCACAAATAATATGACTCATCGAAAAAGTAACTTTTTATTCCCAACGTTTGTCATCGTAAATTTTTAAAACTTTAAAAATCATAAACTGTTTGACTATATATTTGCTTTTTTCAAAGCTTCAAGTTGAATTAACATAAACTGCCAGCAAATTTTTTTAATTCTTCGAAAATTCCTAAGAGCAATGTTATCTTTTAAAAGAGATCAGGTATTTTAAATTGCGTATTTGATGCTTTTGAAATGCAATTTTTCATCTTTTACTTAGAATAAACGTACCCGGTCGTATGTAGAAGAAGCGTTTCGTTTAATCCAAGAAAAACCGGATGTTGTCGACACTATGATATTGAATAACCAAGGGAACCCCATAAAAACCTCAATGGAACCTAATCTGTCGCTACAATACGCGGGCTTATTTGAAATTTTACGTGATAAAGTTACGATTGGCATACAAAAGATCCATCCGGGTGACGAGTTGTTAATGCTACGAGTTCGCACAACTTCTAATGAAATTATATTGGTGCCCGATGGCAAAATCACGGCATTAGTTATTCAAAAAGCGCAAGATCGTTTCAATACATAAATATAAAACCATTTTTTTTGTAAACTTTCAAATATTCTTGCCAAATATACATATATATTTTTTAAAATTGATAATCATGATTTACTGAATCACTACAATAGTAAATTCACCTTCTGGTGCAACCAAATATTCAGATTTTCTCGTGGCTATGCGAAGGAAGCACAAATCGTTTGTACTATCCAAGTCTCGCACAGCGCTTCTTGCAGCTGCCACCAAAACGCCGCAAATAAGTTTCATAATTCCAACGGATACGGTGTTATCATAAGACGATATGGCTATAGTACCTATAGCATTATTAGAGACCACATATCCCATTGCATTTTTCATAATACGTTCTGTATTGTCGGCATTACGACGAATAACGCTTTCCAACTAAGATCAAGAAAAAAGTTAAGAAACTTTTAAGCAATTCATCTTTGTTTAGAATTTTACCATTTTTATAGATTTCTTGTACAAAATATAATAACGTGTTTAAAGATCAAGAATTTTTCAAAATGTTATCAAATTCTAGATCCCGAAATCGTTTCAATTTCTGAAAAATTAATTGTTGGTTTGATTGAATTGGAAAAGGCAAAAGGGGTTTATATTCAGTTTCGAGCAAAAGTATTTAAAAATATTTAAGAGAGGTAGACACAAAAAATGTACATTTCAAAGTGGTTTTTAGAGACACTCAGACATCCAGCGTTAAAACGTAAACGTCAATTGGGGCTAACCTTTTTTGATGAACCTGCGCACAACTAATCGATTAAACCGATTTCTTTTATAAAAAAATATTTCACTCAATCCATTTTCGCAAAGATTCGAAAACATGGAATTCCCTAATATAAACCTTTAAAAATTACGAGCTGCTTAAGTTTATCCAATTATTTTTCATTTGTAGTTTGCTGAAACACGAAGAAACGGTCGGGATTTTTTGGTTACAGTTAAGTGATCAATGACATGAATGCTATAATAAATTTCGTGGTGTTTTCAGTAAACCTTGAAAGCGAAACCAAAACAAAAAAGAAACTATAATGATTGTTCGCGTACTTCTCCTTATCGTAATTTCGCAAATAAATAGCATCGTAGTTTTCTCATTTGCATTTGTATCGTAAAGAAGCGGGAAAGCAGAAATAAAAATGTTGCCAGCAGCAAAATGATTAATTTATTTCTACACAGTTTAGCAGTTTAGTATGGAATTAAGTTGTTGTTAGTTGGCTGCTGGAGGAAAATAAATTGTAAATATAATTCATGTAATATTAGATATTTGAAAATATTACAAACTTTATAAAACTCAATTTTTTACATAATGAAAATGGAATGTAGGTAAGACAAAACTGGAAAATTTCGTGAGTTAAAAAAAAAATCGAATAAAGTTAGAAAACATTTGCAACAAAGTAATTGTGTAAATATAAGAGAGTGTGTTTGTGTGCATGTGTAAAAAAACATAGTTTCGTTTTTTTTTTTTTTTTTTTTGCATATACATATAGGTAGATATGGGAATGGATAAATGAGTGGTATTGTAGACGATAACGAGCTTGGAGTTGTTAAGGGGCCATTGTACGAACGTAGAGTAGCACAGTTAATTGTTTTGTATTAAAGGGAGATAAAATGTGGCGTCGACTATAGCATCGCAAATGATAAAATTGCACGAAGAAAAAAGTAGAATAAAAGAAGAGAGCATACTTACTAACGATGAAGCAGTCAGGATATCTCGGTCAAAGTAATCTTACAAAATCAACTGTTGTAATCATGTTGTTGTCGTGGGGGTTGAACCGGCACTACAATAACAATCATCATATCATATCACTTGAACAGCATAAACATGATTAAAGGACATGCGCTCACTTGGCTCACTTAAACTTTAAACCCCTTAACAATATTGAGAAGGCAAGAGCAGAGAGTATTATAATGTTGTTTGTAAACATTGCAACATTGTTGCATGAACAGTGGTGAAATGTAATAAAGAATGCAGCCAAGTGAAAGTAAATATATTTTGCTCCCTTTCCTACATGGAGTTAGTAAATCGCATTGGTGACCGCCTGCTTATCAAACTGTTTACAGGGATACAATGTTAGTTAGTTTACTCTCGCTCTCGCTGGTCATTGCGACCGAGGGTATGCAATTGTTTTGGGCAAAGGATTAATACACAGATACCAGGTAAGAAAGAAAAAAGGAAGTTCGAACATGTGAGCAACTAAACAAATACGCGCTCAGCATAGACACATTTGTGTGAATGCACATGTGAGTTTTGACTTCTCTGCGAAAATCGATGACATTGAGCGCAACATTGTTGCATCGTGCTGTAAATGTAAAGCACTGTAAATGTCGAGGTTAACGACCATTGCATACCTCTCCCGCTTAATATATAGTTTCGTTAGGTAGATATAAATTTGGAGAAATCTTGCCGACAGTGCAAAGTATTTCAAGTTATATCATTGATTAATATTATTAATCTTGTTGACTGACAGCTTCAAGTTTACAATTTTTACTTAAATGTGTATATAGAACAACGTTTTTTTTTTTTTTTTTTGCATTTTTAAATGTAAATTTCCACTTTCAATTGCTTTCCTTGATTGCCGTTTACTGCATTCTATACATTTTTTTATGGTGTTTATACAAAGGGAGGTGGCGTAGGGCCAGGTGGAGTTTGGCCGCAGTAATATTACCATTTTCTCTTTAGCTATACATTCTTTGCAAATTTTCTTTCATTTACTGTAAATTTACTGCAGTACTGTTTAGTTTGTTGCGTTGTGTCGTTCAATTCTTTCATGTAGTTGGTGTTTACCTATTTACTTTGTTGCCTATCGAAACAACAGTAATCCAGTAAGTTTATGAAAATTATTTTCAATATTTTGATTTCTGTGATCCTTTTTTACAATTAAAATATTTATAAGAATTTTATGAAACGTTTAGTGGGTTTTATGAAGCTTTGTAAGAGTGTTTTACTATTATTAACTACCGAATAATGGCTTGTAAAGGTGTTAATAGTAATATTGTTATGTTGGGCGTGGTTTGTAAACCACGTAGTATAATATCGGGAACTAAGATTTGTAGAATCAAGCCATATTAATAAGTCTTAGTTTCATTAAGCGTGCCAAACATATTTGAAAGTCATTACTTTTAAAAATCTCTTTTTTGTAGTTTTTTTAAGGCATAAAAATTTTGATAAACAATATGTTTAAAATGTTTTCAGCAACACCAGGAATATAAATGTTAATACAATGAAGTATAATGAGATGGAAAAATAATAAGTTATTAATTAATGTACTATGAAATAAATTGCATTTACATACATACTCCAGTAACAACCACCTGAAGACCAATAACTTACATGATAATGGAAATGCTTTATATTGTATATTAAATACAACGTTGTAGGAAATTTTATTGACCTCGAAAATCAATACCTTTAATATAATTTAAAAACGCTATAAATAAAAAAAAAAAAAAAAAAAGAAAAGAAAATTCAATAATAATAATAAGTAAATTAAACAGTAAATAAAGAAACGAAAAGTTATAAAAAAAAAAAGCATTTGTCTCTCAGGATTTATTTAAACTTGTAGAAATGGAAAACGTTCCAATGAATTAATATAATGTAATATTAAAAAAAAAAAATAAATAAATAAATAAATACCTGACAGCTACACTTAAAGCAAATATAACAACAACAGCAACAGTAACGGTAAACACCTCAGAACAACAACTCAATTTAAGCTTTTTAAAGAAAAGAAGAAATAATTAAAGAAAAAAAGTGTTTATGGATTTACCTTAATTAGTCGTTGAGGAAAAGGTTTCATTTGGTTATAATAATATCAAAAACTGGAAAAAGAAAGCAAGAAAAATATCCAATCAATTCATAAATTTATTAAAAAAAAAGAAAAAACGAAAAAAATTCAATAAAATTAAAATAGCAAAAGTCATGCCAACAATTTATCAATATTAATGCAAAGTAGTTACGACGAACATGTATAAAAAAAACAAAAACGAAAAAGAGGAGAAAAAAATGTATACAAAATACCAACAACAACAACATCAAGATATCCAGAACAACTCGAAGCATACAAAATATAACAATTTGTTGACAATGTCTTCTGTTATACATACAAATGGTGGTGTCGGTGGTTGTTTAGCCAGCAGCAAAGATAATATGAACTGCAGTCATAATATCAACAACAATAACAATAATCAAAACAGTAGTTATAGCTGCAGTAATAATACAATAACAACAACAACACCAACAACAACAACAACAGCAGCAGCAGCATCAACATTTACTACCTTAACACAATGTGCCACAGCTATCAATAATTGCTCTGCTACTCTCAGCAATAACAACTCTCGACTTCCATTTACTTCGACAAATCTCTTTCAGTTGCTTTGCCTTGTAACTGTATGCACGATGTGTTACTATAACTCGACACAAGGTGCTCTGGTTTTCGATGATATTAGTGCTATACGTGACAACAAGGATTTGCGTCCCTCCACGCCGCTAGGGCAAATTTTTCTCAATGATTTTTGGGGTACACCAATGCGCAAGGAACAATCTCACAAGTCCTATCGTCCGTTAACAGTGCTAACATTTCGTTTAAATTACTGGCTGCACGAATTACAACCGTATGGCTATCATGTTGTCAATGTCATTCTGCACACGGCTGTGTGCGTACTTTGGCGTCGTGTTAGCCGGCTTCTAGTAATGCATTGCACGCTTTCCGATAAATTAGCTCAGCGTTGTTCTTTTCTTAGCTCTCTTTTATTTGCCGTCCATCCGATACACACTGAGGCTGTTACTGGTGTCGTTGGACGTGCTGAATTGTTGTCTTCGCTCTTTTTCTTATGCGCATTTATTTCCTATGTTCGCTCAGTTAACATCGGCTTTTTTCCGTCTGTTAGCAGAAAATCTGCACAAAAGATTATGAAAACTAGCTGGTTTTCATTATTCATAGTTTTCGGCGGCTGTTTACTTGCTTCCATGCTCTGTAAAGAGCAGGGCATAACAATTGCTGGCATTTGCGTAGCTTATGAACTATTCGTTGTGCAAAGTGTATATCCGATGCAATTATGGCATTCATTGCTAAATCTCTTTGAGGAAAAACGTTTAATCAACGGCAGTGATAGCAGTAATTCGTCACCGACTAATAAAGCGAACGGCAATCAAGACAATTCGGGTACACCGACAACATCTGTTGCGTCAACAGCATTTTATTATCCATCTCCTCGTGCAGCCGTATGGTCAAGTTGCTTATTGAAACGATTGGGTTTTTTGATTCTTATTACTGTGGCTTTGCTTGTCGGTCGAGTATACGTAATGGGCTCTCAGTTGCCCGTATTTACACGCTTCGATAATCCTGCCTCCGCTGCTGAAACACCCGTACGTCAACTTACCTTTAGCTACCTCATCTATTTGAATATCTGGCTGTTGCTATTTCCGTGTAACTTATGCTGTGACTGGACGATGGGTAAGTGTTTCAAAAACGTTTCCTTATCATAAGCACACGAAGACATGTTTGCCTTCGTCAAGACCTACCATTCAGAATTACTTGTCTAAAAACAACTCGCTCGTTATAAGGGCAGATTCGGCCGAATTGAAAACCAACTTCTAGCAGTTTTCTGCTGTTCAATTCTTTATTTTATTTTTTATACAATTAGGAACCAAAATAACCACGGCACGGTATTTAAACCTAAGTACATAATTATTTCACGAGATGCTTTATTGCTGCTGATAGTGCATCTCATAAGATAGTTAATCCTAGATTCGAAATTTAAACTAATTTCGAAAATAAAGCGTTTTGAAATATTGCACAGATTACTTTCGATCTCTCTCTTCCTGTCAGGAATATCGTTTCATAGATTATCGATTTGGCCGATTTCAATAATAACGGAAATCATTAGAGAGAGAGAGAGAGAGAGAGAGAGAGAGAGAGAGAGAGAGAGAGAAAACAAGAGTAATCTTGGAAATCAAGTTGACGACAGACTACTTTTTCAAATCATGTCTGGCACAAATTTTCAACAACAATTTTCCCCCATTAGACAACGAAGACCTCCTTTTCTCTTGCAACTTTGAAGACTGGTTTGGCGATTTCGGAAGCAAAAAAACGTGAACGAAAAATATTAGGCCGTGTCATAGGGAACTTCCGATGCGTCACCGAAACAAACGTGTTTTTGTTCGCACTACATAGATGAGAAATCAATTAGTTTTCTGTTAACGGCTTTATGTGGCTTAGGTTTGGGAATTTAAGCAAGGCAACAGCGCTAAGGCGATAGTTGACAAAATATGCAGCGTATACGGCGAAGGACTGATAACTGATCGGGCAGTTGAAAATTGGTTTGTAAAATTCCGTTTTGGGAGGTATGAACTTAAAAGGCGGGACGTCCGTCCGACTTTGACGACAATCTTTTGAAGGTAATATTTGAGCAAAATCGACGCCATTCAACCCTCGCAATCAACTGTTAAACTAATATAATTTTCTTATTCAATGAAAACAAAATAAATGTTCGAAAAAAAGCATAAGTTACTTAAAATCCGAATTAATATAATCATAACTTTGTGTCGATGCTACTTAGACGAAGTTATACGAAGTTGTGTCACACATACAAATTTCACCTTTTGTTCGATGTCATATATTTGATATTTACGAGCCCGTTAACATAGATGTTTTGAATATAATGGCAGTAAGCATATCTCCCTCACTTAATGGTGGGTAACTAACTGCTTTCACAAAATCTTTCCATGTCTTTTATTAATTGCGCACTTTTTTCCAAATTCTCTTAATTTTCCAGGAACTGTCCCTTTGATTGACGGCTTAATGGATTTGCGCAATGTTTTCACATTATTGACGTTCGCCTTTTTGGCTGCTATGGTATTTCATGCTTGCTTTTCGCAAAATTTTCAACATTCACGAATGCTGTTAATGTGTATGGCTTGGTCCATTTTACCATTTCTGCCAGCATCGAATCTATTCTTTCCGGTTGGATTTGTTGTGGCAGAACGCATTCTGTATATGCCTTCGATGGGATTTAGTTTGTTGGTGGCTTATGGTTACGAACGTTTAAACCGAAAGGTTCGTGTTCATGGCAACGTATGGCAAAGCTTGTTAAAAGCGTCTTTAGTCGCATTAATTTTATCGCACGCTGCCCGCACTCATCAGCGAAATGCTGACTGGAGAAATGAGTACACATTGTTCATGAGCGGCGTTCATGTTAACGATCGCAATGCCAAACTGTTTAATAATGTTGGTCATGCTCTAGAGAATGAAGGACGTTTCGATGAAGCTTTGGCCTATTTTCAACAAGCTGTTAATATACAACCCGATGATATTGGAGCTCATATTAATGTTGGACGGACTTATAACAATTTAAAGTATTATGCTAAAGCAGAGGCAGCTTATTTAAAAGCCAAGTCATTATTTCCGCGCATAAAGCCGGGTGAAAGCTATCAGGCCCGCATTGCCCCTAATCATTTGAATGTATTTATTAACTTGGCTAATTTAATAGCACGCAATCAGACTCGCCTTGAAGAAGCTGATTATTTATATCGACAAGCAATTAGCATGAGAGCTGATTATGTCCAGGCTTATATTAATCGGGGCGATATTCTTATGAAATTAAATAGAACAATACAAGCTCAAGAGGTATACGAGAAAGCCTTATTATATGATAGCGAAAACGCGGATATTTACTACAATTTAGGGGTCGTCTTTTTGGAACAGGGTAAAAGTGCCCAAGCAAATGTTTATTTCAATAAAGCTTTAGAATTATATCCAGAACATGAGCAAGCTTTGATTAATTCTGCAATTTTGTTGCAAGAAATTGGTGGATCTGAAGCTCGACAGTTGTCGAGAGAGCGCCTACTCAAAGTTTTATCGAAAAGTGGTGACAATGAAAAAGTTTTCTTCAATTTGGGAATGTTGGCCATGGACGATATGGATTTTGAGGCGGCTGAACATTATTTTAAGAGGGCGATACACCTTAAGGTGAATTTTCGTAGCGCACTCTTCAATTTAGCTTTGTTGTTAGCCGACACGAATCGTCCATTGGAAGCGGTACCATTCTTAAATGAACTCATACGCCATCATTCTGACCATGTTAAAGGTCTTCTGTTGCTGGGTGATATCTACATAAATCATATGAAAGATTTGGATGCTGCCGAAACTTGTTACCGTTCTATACTCAAATACGAACCACAGAATACCCAGGGCCTCCACAATTTATGCGTAGTGTTTGTGGAGCGCAAACATTTAGCCAAAGCTCAAACGTGTTTACGTTATGCTCATCGCTTAGCACCAAACGAAGAATACATTTTACGGCATTTGCAGATTGTCGAGACTCGTCTTCAGAAAATTTCCAAGTTACCTGATAACTCACCTGAGAAACTATTAGCCTTTGTCCATAATCCTAGAGAATATCCAATGCCATCGCCAATCGATCAACAAGACCGATTTGGATTATCATCCACTTCATTTCCTACTCTTAATCAATCAAAATCACCCACCACAATACATAATTCATAGCATTACATTAAATAAGTCAAACGTTACATACACGCATTAAATTAGTTTTTATTATCCTACAATAATTAATATTCTATTGCATGTTCCATCTCATCGTCCGTATTTAAAAAATTGTGTGTTGTAATGCTGTGAAAATCTTTACTCATCCTCGTGTTTTAGTTTACGTAGTCTATCTCAAAATTTCCCGGACTTGTCCGAAAAAGTTGGGGAATATGTTTGTGCATGTCTAGATGAGCAGTCGCTCAAACGTGCAGTTGTTGTTTGATAATCATTCTACTAAATGAGTATTATTTTAGCTTTCGAAAGGCTATAGAAATTAAAGGCAAGTTGGACGCTATTTACGGAAACATGGCATCTTGATTTGTCGCCCTGAAATTTTGTCTGATATTTCAGCGGTGCCAGCTATGAACTAAAACTTTGCCTATTGACTAACATATCGCTCAAGTTCGTCAAATTATGCTGGACGATTGTCGAGTTAAGGTTAGAGACATAGCACAGGTAGTGGACATATTCAGGCAGAAGGCAAATACATTTTGATTTTGTATTTGAATTTGGGCAAGAGAGCGTTAACGGGATGTTGGGATGCCATGTTTACTCTCTACGAAACAAAAACATCGAGTCACAAGTCGATGGCCCGAAGGACAGAATTGCATAATAAAAATTTAGGAAAACGACTACATTCACGACGATATTACCATTTATTGGCACTGGCTGCCTAAAAATATATGTTCTACTCTTGCTAGCTGGATGATTTAACAAATACGAAATATAAGAAAAACAGTGACTTAATAAATTTGTTTTTGGTCCGATCACAATTTCGTCAAGATAATCTCTTCGAACGAAAGCCAACACTTTACTTCATTTTTGTTTTCAGCACTTGAAGCATATCGTCCATTTTTGTCTCGTGAGTGCTTCGCCTGTTCAGCCTATTCTATGCATTGTTCGAGGCTCAAAACACACTTTGTTTGTAAATTGTGCACGTTGGTCTAGTTATTCATAGTTCTATTGTAAATGAGAGGACATTAATTGATGAAGGAAAGTGAGTGGAGTAAGTTAATGTTTGATAGATATTATTCTTCATTGTGTTTCGATTTACTTGTGACTAATAAGGTTTCAATGAAAAGAACACAGCAAAGGCTTAGTTAAAAAGTTTTCGGAACGTAAATGTGACATCAATTTTTTGGCATGTTTTCCCAACAGTTGTTCTCCATTCGATAAATTTGTTGCATGATTAGATTTGTTGGAACCCCTGAAAATATTCATGTATAGCCCCTAGTTACACCCTACGCGAATATATGCGACATTCAAAAGAATTTCAGATAGATTTGCTTCCTAATACAAAAATCGATTCGAAAAAACATTTTGTTGAATTGATTTCAGTCTGTTTTAAGTCATAAGCAACTTCCTATGTTCGTATTTACCCACTATAAGTCACCGAAACAAATGAGTTTTTCTGTTCACTATATAAATGGAATCCTCAGTTAATCTTCGATCGAATGTTTTATGTGGTGCCTGTTACATTCAGCTGTTTTTCTTAAACTCTGAAATAGAGAGACAAAAAATGCATATGCAGCATCTAATGTTTTGGGAATTTAAATGGAAGGCAATACCGCTAAGGCGAGAACTGAAAAAATATGTAGAGTATAAAAAGTTATCGCAATACTGATGGCAACAAGAAATTATGTTTGATGTTCTATAAAGAAGTTGGACCAAGTATTGTAATGTATTTGCTGGCCGCCGGTAAGGCTGTTTTGAGAAGTGCTTGTTAAGTAAAATATGCGCTCAGCGACAATTAAAAGCCTAGGAAGGATCGGTTAATGAGCTGAATATCTATTGAAATGATTTTTACAGCATTATAAAATTTTATTGTTCACTAAATAAAACCTTAGATTTGTTTCGCTCTCAATGATATATATACATATATATATATATATATATATATAAATGTACTTACTTGCCCATCATGTTATATAATATTTTCTGTTAATTTATTCTACTTTTCTAGAAAAATATTTTTAGTCTAAATTTTATACTTTACCTCAAAACTCTTAAAATTATTCATTCTAAGCAAAACTATATAACATTTAATATTGTGCACCCTTCCACTAAACGTAAAATGTATAAAATAATATTTGTATGGATTTGCATAAATATAAATAAAAATAAAATATTAATCATTACATTATAAGCAGCAATTTACGTAAAACCTTCACTTATAGAATTAATAGAATAAAGAAGCACTTGAAAAACTGCAAAATATAAAAAAAATGAATGGCGAAACTGTTTTTAAAAAATACAATAATGTTTTGCTGGCATATTTGTTTTTGTAAAAAAAAAAAAGAAAGAAATTATTTGTTAACATTTCTTTAAAGCCTTTTTATAAAAAAAAAAAAATATGGAAAGCGTTACACACACACAGACACACTAAC